TGGTTGAATATTAATGCACAAATAAATCTATTATTGGCAATCACTTAAATTATAATCAAATTAACCCTAAACAAGATTATTAATTATCTTATTAAGCGTGATTACAAGTACAAATTCCCTTTAAACATGCATAAAAGGCGTGATCAAGCAATAATAATAATAATAACAATCAAGCAACATAATAATCATTATCATAACAATAATAATCATAATTGAAATAATAATCATAATTAAAATAATCATGTTAAGCATAATATTATTAGCAGGATCCTAGGCATGATACTAACAGGATTAATAACAAACCCTAGCATGTCACTAAACATCAAAGAACAAAGCTTTAACCCTAACATGATACTAACATGATATTAGGAAAGACATAAGAAGCATCATAATAATCATACTTGATATTAAAAATTTTAGTTATTACCCTAAACATGATACTTAAGCAATTAATTAAGGATAATTTTTTTATTATTTATTTTCAATCAAGCTCTATTCAACATGGGAAGAGAATATGGAAAAGAATGGGAATAGATTGGATCCCCCACTCGAATGACGGAAAACGACTCATGTTTATGGTGACATATACAAAGTGTGTGCTAAACTAGTGAGTGTAGGGGACATGCTTTGACTCTTGTGTATGACCATGGAACTAAGTGCTTAGACTCAATTAAGGACTAAATATGGCTACTGCCATTAACACACTGATCAAAGTGATTAATAAGCTGTTTAATTAGACTCGTCGTGATGACTCGGGTAATAAACTGAACTGTCGCCGCACACTGAAGTGCAGCGCCAGACAATAGAGTTTTCGTCCAGTGTTGCACAGCAGCATTTGGCGCCACAACCTTAATTTTTGCGCCATTGGTGGAACATCAATCTGGGACTGTTTTCAGTATTTTACTCTAAAGGGACTGGTCTAAAGTTGTACTAAGTCGGTTTGATTGATTTATTAGACTTTAATTACTCGAATTAATTAATTAATTAATTAATTAGGAAAAGTCCTTTAGTCATTAATTAGTTTATTTATACTTAATCACAAGTCAAACAAACGGTTCGGAAAAACACATAGAGTATGCACGACAAATAATGCACAAGTAGTCAAGTAAGAACAATATGATGCAATGATTTTGCAACCTAACCATGTCTCTAGTTCTCTAATGTTCAGGATATGGGTTAATCAAAGAGGGTCCATGGTTATGAGTCCAGATGCACCGCGCGGAATCCTTACCTTTGGAAGGGTTGGCGCGTGTCGATGGGACCCCGCGAGTTAAACTCACTTCCATGGTTTGGTAAATTCAACATTCTTGGATGTACCCTTCGTTTCCAGGAGCGTTCGGTTGGGTAGATGGAGCATGAATTCCCAGAGGGTTATGTCCATATGTAGAAAAAAAATGGGTTATAGAAAAGAGAGAAAAACTCAATCACGAAGTAGAATCGAGCCAACAGTGCTAGAACCAGTCAAAACAAGAAGGAAGAATTCTGGCTCGGTATTGGAACAACTTGGCGCCAGGAAACAGAGTTTGTCGCCAGAAAATGACTCCGTTGCCAGACGAAAAGTTTGTCGCCAAGCGACGAGGCCATTTTTCAGGCGACGCACTCTGTTTTCTAGACACTAGTTCCTACATGCCTCAACAGCTTTCTGTGTTTTTAGAATTTTCCAGTTTTCGCAGTACTATTTTGATTCTAGTTGTGAAAGATATTTCTCAAATTTCCTACGTGTAAAAAAAAATCCTATGTTTTTGAATCATTACGGATGGTCTTTCCAATGAGAACCTTTTTTATGCTTATGCCAATAATGTCAATCAAAATTACGCTCATGAAATACTTAGAACTTTTCGAGTCTCATCCACTCATTCTAAATCATTGCCAAAATAAATTTTAGGAATTAAAATAGAAATTCTCCCCAGTGCAGTTGCCAAAAAACTGTAGGGAATATTTTAAGCATTACCCCAAACTTGAACACCACTGTGATCATACACTTAAGTATGGTGGCGTCTAAAGGGAAGGAAACTAGAGCAATAGAGTCGCCAACAAGTTTTAGGAACTTGTAAACCGTTCACAGGGTGAAGGTTACACCCCTTAAAGATCTAGGAGATCGTTAACTCCAATAGGTCTGGAACCATGACTGGTTTTCGAGGATGAGAGTGCAAATCCAATCTAAAAGAGAAAAACTCGCCCTAATAATAGGCCTCTACTTTATTCTACTCGTATTCATGTGCGCTTTCTGACTAACATGCAATCATTGGGTTTACCCTAATCCAATTTATCTATGTTGGTTGAATATTAATGCACAAATAAATCTATTATTGGTGATCACTTGAATTATAATCAAACTAACCCTAAACAAGATTATTAATTATCTTATTAAGCGTGATTACAAGTACAAATTCCCTTTAAACATGCATAAAAGATGTGATCAAGCAATAATAATAATAACAATCAAGCAACATAATAATCATTATCATAACAATAATAATCATAATTGAAATAACAATCATAATTAAAATAATCATGTTAAAGCATAATATTATTAGCAAAATCTTAGGCAGGATACTAACAAGATTAATATCAAACCCTAGCATGTCACTAAACATCAAAGATCAAAGCTTTAACCCTAACAGGATACTAACATGATATTAGGAAAGAAATAATAAGCATCATAATAATCATACTTGATATTAGAAATTTTAGTTATTACCTAAACATGATACTAGGAAGCAATAAAACATCCTAACATGGTACTAGGAATCAAAATAATAATCTAAGCATGATTTCTATTTCATAATATCAATAAAACAATTAAATTACTTACTTGGATGCCTCGTATCTCTTTCTAATTACAAAAATACACACGTTAGTAACTTCAAGGAAAATAATAAAATTAAATAAATAACTAAAGGATTGAAAGAAAGAGTTAAATATTTTTAACTGGATTTGGGACCAAACCCTCAGAAATTATCAACTTTTCACGTCTAGGGCAAAGGCAACTTTGAACTTGGCTAGGTGTGTCTAGATCTTGTGAATGCAGAATTGTGTTTGTAAAAGGGTTGGTTTAGAAACAGAGAGAGAGAGAGAGAGAGAATCAAGAAATTCTTGATGAGAGTTGATAATTGAAAACGGAGGTCCAGGGACCCTATTTATAAGAAAATAGCCTGGAAACCGATAGAAAAGAGTTAAAATTCAAATCGGAATAAAACTCATCATGTTGCCAATGACAGAGCTCGTCGTCAGGCGCTGCACTACGCCAGGCAACGAACTTGTCGTCAGGCGATGCTAAGACAGGTTTTTGCGGATTTTGTTTTTTTCATATCTTTTGATCCAGAAGTCCAAATAAGTCATATAATATGTCGATGGAAAGCACTTGAAGTCTAATTTCCAATCCAATTGTTATCAGATTAAAATCTTTTGTAGATAAAAAGATATGGCCGAAATAGTGGAAGGATGTCTGTTTTAGATAGAGTTTCGTATTCCATTCATATTTTTTTTATTATAGCTCGGAATTAATATTATAATATATCATTGGAAACATAATTTCAAGATCTATCCAACCATATAAAATTTGGATAAAGATTATGAGGCACAAATATAATATCTTACTGTCTTTGAACATCTTTGAATTCGAATAGAACTAGGATGTAAAAAAAGGAAAGTTTTATTCAATTTCAAACTCTTTGATTTTATCTTTTCAAAAAGGATAATTAAGATCTTTTAGAAACTCAAAGAATCTTCTAATAAATCCTAATTAGTTTAGGAATAGGATTAAACCTTTGGACCCTCCACCTGATCATTGGGTCGTAGGTAAATCCGGTTTGGGCCCACTTTAGTATTTTGGCCATAACTTCCTCATTATTCATCGGAATTGGGCTTATAATATATCGTTAGAAAGGTTTTTTCAAGACCCATCCTACCACACTATTATTGGAACCATATCATGGAACAAACTAAATTGGAATGCACGTTTTTCATAAATAGGGTAAGAAAAGAAATATTTTCAAAAACAGAAAGAAGAGATATTTTAATAAAAACATCTTCATCACTAGAATTTTCACACTTTCACTTTGTTTGATAATAAATGACATGAAAGGTATTCATCACTGGGTTTTATTTATGGGAGACACAAACGGGTGTCTATAACCGCATGATTGGGATTGCTCACACTTATCAAAATAAAAAATGATAAAGCAAAAAAGAGAGAGCAAAAAATAAACAAAGAAATAGAGTTAAAAAGTGAGGAAACCTCAAGCATAAAAATATGAAGATTTCAAAAGCAAGGTTGCACACCTTGGGGGCTTATTTAGGGTCTTGAGCCTTTAACTCTTTCTTCTTCAACCTTTAGCCTAACCACGTTACAACCCTTCAAAGGCCTCTTTGAGGTATACACACACTTATAAGAGGTTTGTCTAGAGCTACGTTCGGCCTGATTCCTACCGGATACGTAGGGAACCTCACATCGAGGTGCAGCCGTAATAAAAATGCATTCATTCACATTCACCGTCATACATGATCATATCAAGGGATCTCCAATGCTCATCCCTAACTATTTAGAGCTAGACTTGGGGGCTTGATCCCTACATCATTAGCATACCGGCCCTACCCAGCCTAAGTGTCACTATTCACTACCACAAAAGGTCAATATAGAACGCCTTAAATAAGCATTATAGGACGCCTTAGAGGCGTTCTTCAACTAGGGTGGCTTATAAAGTTTACAAGACATCTTCAAGAGGCGTTCTATATTCAATACAATATAGAACGCTTGTATAAATAAGCGTTTCCAATGCTATATTCCGACTAGTTAGAAAACAAGGAAAATGGAACGGTTGCCTAGTGACATGTGTTTCATAAGCCTAAAAAAGAGAACGTCTATCTCACAAATCAGTTCTCTTTTTATTCCTTTTTTTTCAAAAAAAAAGTTAAAACGATTGGAAAAAATATTATACGAAAGCATTAATTTCGAATGCTAAATAGCGGTAGTCTGGATTACAATAATAGATTAGATCTAAGTAAGAAAACTAATGCATTATTAACTTTAATCAAGAATTTACAAATGGACTAATGAATTAAGATTTCAATTCAACTCAATAATAATATACATAGAAAATGAAATCAGGTACAAAATCAATCTAGTATAATCAAAATTACAGTTCATATTAGATGCTAAAAACCAACTCCGATCTCTAGAATTATCCCAGCTGATACGACCAAAATCACCAAATCAATTTACGTTGTATCAAGCTCCTTTACTTCAAAACCTTATTATGTAAATCCCTGCAACAAAAAAGTCTATTAGATTTCAAGGCTTATCTATACATGAAGACGGATTTGGTAATTCTGAAAGAAAAAAATAGTGGTTGAATGTTTATTGATAGAACAATAGTGTTTAACTGTACAAATTTCATATCCATTTTATACCTTGATTCATCAACAAACAAAAATTGAATCCCCATTATCCTAAAAATCGAATTGATATGACAGAAATATATAATAAAAAGCGATAAAATTATTATTACCCTTTATATTATAAAAACAAGAATTGACAAAATTTCAAACCCAAAATTGAATAAAATAAAATAAAAATATTATGTATTGCTCATAATAAGTGTTGATTTTCTCCATACCTCCCAAAAATCGAATTTTAAATGCTCTTGTTGAAGTAGGACGATGCAATCTAACAACCCGAGGCGGTGGCTATGCAACGAAGGTGAAGGTGAAGGTGATGGTGATGGAGCTTCTATGGCAGTAGTGGTGGCGGTGATGGCGGTGCTTGTAGCGCTTAGATTCACGGGGAATGCTTTCCATGGAGAAAGTAATTCGAAGGTTCCAATCTGGGCTTGTGGGAGAATCATGGATCGAAATTGATTTCGCACTCGAATGAAAAGGGGGGTCGGAAAAGGAATTATTGAAATAGAAACCTCTAGATTATGTTGGAGATGAAAGAAAGCATAGAGGGATCTAAAGATGAAAGAAGCAAAATTTCATTGAAGAGGAGGAGCTATAGAGAAAATGAAGAAAGAGGAGGCGGTAGAAGGCTAGAAGCTAAGTGAAAATTAGGGGGATTAGGTTTTAACTAGTAGGGAGTGGTTGAAATAAAATAATAACTGACAAATCAAGTGGGAACTGTCAAAATAGAACACCGTTCTATAATGTATATCCATATTTTATTTTATTTTTATTTTTATTATGGTAAATTATATTAAACTGTTCTTAATGAGGGGCGTTCTATTTGATTCAACATATAAAGCTATCCTCTAACAAAGGCGTTCTATTTACTTCTAGAGAACGCCTGTCCAACTTAATAGTTAAGTATTATGTGTTACTTTTGCCACTTTTTGTGGTAGTGATTATTTGACTTTTTTAATATATTTCCACACCCTTAGCCTTTTTGGCCTAACTGTAGTGTCACTTACTGTAGACACCTAAAAATGTCTCCCTAAAGCCAAACCCGATGATGAACAACCTTTCACCCCCACTATTGGTCGGGTTCAGTATTTAATGCCGAGAGTGCTTAAAAAATCGTATTTTGAATAGTCCATGGATTAGTCTTGATGTTTGGTCAAAGCATAGTTTTAATTTCAGCCCAAACTTATTATTTAATTTAGCCCAAACCTTTTTTTATTTTACTGTTTTATTATTTATTTTGGCGCAAACTTTTTATTTATTTTAGCCCAAATAATAATAAAATCAGAAAATGGCCCGAAATTATCAATCGGCACTTAAAATGCATGCCAAGCATTAGGGTTAAAAATGAATTTAGACGGAAAAGCGGACTGAAAATTCCCGCGTCACGGCAACAGTCCACCGTGTCACGGGAAACTTTCCCGTCTGACGATGGGGTTCTCCATGACACGGGAAACCTGCTATGACACGGGAATTGTCGTGTCCTTTCCGCGTAAACCCTTAACGCGTTTTCTCCCCCGTTCACTAAATATTTCCCGTGTCACACAAAATGTGCAAGGTGTCACGGGAATGTTTTCCGTATGACGGTGGGATTTCCCGTGTCACGGTACACTTTGCCGTGTCGCGGGATACTTTTTTAGGGTTTTTATCATTTTAGGGTTCCGTGTGTTCCCTCAGCACATTTTTTCTATAAATACCCCCTCATTTCTGATGTACGGGGCATCAATTAATTCTTTATTTTTCTCTCTTCTATGCTCTAGCCTAAACACTAGCCTACCCTTATTCTTTCAAAATTCCTTCTTCAAGCACTCCCAGGAGTCCATACTTTACTCGTGGTTCTATCCTTAAGCCAAGGCGTGAAAGGTAGAACTGTTTGAGGGTTTGGCCCCAAATCAATTCTATTTTAATTTGATTTAATTATTGTTTTATTATTATTTCCCTGAAGTTTCTAACTCGTTTATTATTTTGTAGTTGCAATATTAATGTTTATTTTATTATTTTTTATGATCACCATATTGCATGTTTAAAGGGAATATGTAATTGAAAATCACGCCTAATAAGATAATTTGGACAACCGGTTTAGGTTCCTTCTTAATCTTGTTATTAATTAAAGTGGTCACAATATTTTAGAATTATATGTTGCATTAATATTCAACCAATTTAGCATAATAATAGATTGGAGCGAATTGAGTATTTTGTTTGTATGCCTTTAAGATCGCAGGAATGTTTTTCACTATAAGAATCGAGTAGAGGCCGATACGGGCGAATGTGACTCCATGACTCACTTCGTACCATCATCCCTGATCCTCCTTTCGTGGTTCTGAACCATATGGAGTTTGTAATCTCTTGGATTATGAATGGGGTGTAACCTTCATGGGTCAATCGTTGTTGCCTTCGTTGTCCCTTTATTCGTGGTTGCCTTTCATGATCCGTGAACAGTTTACAAGATCCTTAAAAACTTGTTGGCGGCTCCCTACTTTCCTTGTCCCTAATCGTATTATGCCAATTCCCACTTCCTATGAGTGCCAAGCATATTCACCACATGCTTAACGTAGGCGCACTTCGAACGACGCCTACAATTTGGCGACTCCACTGGGGAGGATTCTTGGTTATTTATCAATGAGTGGATGAGACTTGAAAGATTTTTGAAAAATATTCCTGCGATTAATTTTGCATTTTTGCATAAGTATAGACGTTTTAACGTCGCGTTTAGGTCTGTCCCGTAGGAGAAATTGAATAACTTGATTGCGTACGAAGGAAAACTGGGCACCAGTCAGATTTTCTGACTGCCGTGCCACGGCAGAATCTGTCGTGTCACGGTACAGTGCACCGTCTGACGGTGTGCAGTACCGTGGAAAGGGAATCTCTGCCGTGTCACGGCAGTCCTAAAATCAGTCTGGTGGCTTATTTTATCTTCTCACGTTCAACTTCCTTCGATTTTTCTGAAAAAACGTGTGTGTTCTACATGCGTCTTAGCCCCGGGGGATATAAGCTCTATCAACCCAAAAAATCTCATTGCAATAAATGTTCATTCGAAATATTAAATCCCCCCAAACCATGGAGTCGAGTTCGATTTCATCACGAACTCGCGGAGCCGCCCGTTGGCATACACCCTCAAGGGAGGCTGTCTTGCTAACGCGTCCAAACTCTTAACCATGGTCCCTATTGACACCAAATAAACTTGACCATAGTCGAACATAGAACATGACCTTAGGTTGCGAACTATTCTTTGCATCATTGTGCCTACGTGTTTTATGCTTGGTCGTTTTTATCCTAACCTTAACGATCTTTCTTTTTCTATGGTGGATTATTTTATGACTGACGATTGCCAATGGACCGTACTCATTTAGTAATTAGTGCAAAAAAAAAAAAAAAGTTTTCCGCGCCACGGGAAGGTCTACCGTGGCACGGTGGACCTGCAAAAAAAAAAAAAAAAAACAATATTCGCCTTGGCTTAAGTGATCAACCAACAATTAATTATCCAATTCTAATCTTTATTTAACGCAATGTACTATGTGGAAATAATTAATTAGTCCTTTTAAGGTGATCAAACAACACTAATTAATTAATTAAGGTTCTTTTAAACAAGAAAATAAATATGATTTATCTAAGTGCTCGGGAATTTACCACTTCTATTTGCTAGATCTCCGTTAGAACACTTATGGACACCTTCTTGTTGAGGAACCTCTACCATAGTAACAAAATATCAAGGGGTGAGTGTTTAGGACAAGAGGGGTTAGGTAGCACAAGTTCACAAGTATTCCGCTAGAGTGTTAGGTTATTTTTCTGTGTGTTTAAGCCTCGGATTAAGCCTCTATTTATAGGGAATGGGTAGGAATAGGGTTTTGAACATTCTGCCGCAGCAGGTGTCGCGCGCAACAGGATTAGTTGTGCGTGGCATCCCAGTGCAAGTGATTGGGTTGCGCTGCTACAGGCAGCGCAACTGAGTGTCTCTAGAGGTTGCGCTAAGTGTCGCGCATAGCTTCCCAGTCCAATTAACTAAGATTCGATTCTATATATTCGTAAAATTATGAATATTCTGCGAGCGCATCTCTAGAGGTTGCGCTAAGTGTCGCGCACAACTAAATGAGTTGCGCGCGCCTTCCAAGTGCGACTGATTGAGATGCGCACGGATTTTCCTGCGGCAGCATTAAAATTTAACCTAGGCGCTCCTAAATCCGTCATTATTGGGTTTTAAGCACGGGCTTAAGCCTAGTATTGATCGGATTTAGTTAATTGGACCTTGTTTAGCTTTTTTTTTTTGTTTGGGCTAGTTTTTGTGTTTTGTGGCTTAACCAGTTATCCATAAGCATTCTTCACTTCAATCCAACATGAAGATGGTTTTATTTATCATCATTGCACTTCTTACCGGGAAAGTAGGCCAAAAGTAGATGTCTACAGTTAGCCCCCACTTTGATCGAGTCTAGAATAGACGATGATCAAAGTAGTCAAGGAAATAAATCCGAGACTAATTCTGCGATGTTCTCAAAGAATAGAGAATCTTTCAGAAATGTTAAGGATGTGGAAATGATCCTTGGCTCACTAAGTGTTCGAAGCAAGTAGCTACTAAGGCTAGGAAAAGTTTTTTCCTAGTCTTAACGCGCTAAAGAATCTAGATTGATCCTTTGCAATTGTAGAACGCTTTTACCAGTAAAGGTGTTCTAGGTGATGTCAAGTCATGAGAAGAGATCGGTTTTAAAAAGAATAGAAGGGGATGATTTCTTCTCAATCGTGTCATCATTGGTCTAAATTCCCTCGATATGTCATTGAAACTTTAGCCTGAATTTAACAAAGTAAAAAGATGAAAAAGGTGTTTTCAGCATTTGAGCCAAAATGGTCCAGTATTCGAGCCGGATGTCTACAAGATAAAAATACATGTCTCAGGACTGGAGGCACATATCCAAATCCAGTTAGAGGGAAGAAAGTTAACAACTCTTTCAGCAGTTTTGTCCACAAGATGAGTACACGTGTCGCATGACTGGGGGCGCATGACTACATAGGCGCGACATCATCTCGTCGCTTTTTTATACAGGGGGTGGATGGACACCCTAACTGTCCGGTAAGCTAGTAAGCTCACTAACTACCGTATTTGCTTCCAATCAAGAAGTGTCTGTTCCTGATGGTTCGGCGCGCCTATCAACTCGTGAGCTAACGCCTAAAGTAATCATCTACCTTTTAGTTCCGAGAGGTATATCTCGTAAAGCTTGGGCTGAAGGGAAATTTTACGCAACACCTAAGTCGTACAATTTTGCGTCGTACGATACGCCTTTTGCATTTTTACGCTGCATGACAACGTCTTCCTTTTTGCTTCGGACGTGAATAAAGAAGAAAAGCTGGACATTTATAATGTCAGTACAGTAAAATGACATACCTGTCTATGGGTGCTTTTATGTAAAGCACCACCACGGAACGTCTTAAGACACTCTTACGAAAAACGTTCAAAACGTATGCTTAGGGAAGGCACAAAGCACGGTGTGCATGCAAGAATGATGCAAAAAACTAACAAAGAAGAAAATAAACTACAAAATGCAAAGAAATTTAAAAGATTTAGATAATTTGCACGCTATTACGTCTAATAACGAGCAAAAATCGTTGAAAAATGATCAAACGGATCAAAATCTGGATTCCGGTCATTTTATTAACTAGTATCCGCATGCAACTCAGTGGGTCGCGCTGGCCAGGCGCGCGCATCATTCTGAGCTGCATTGGTCTGTCACGCGCAACTGATTCAATTGCGCATGACATTTAAATCAGCAAAAGGAAATCGCTAAGCGCGATTTTCATTTCGCAATCTCCTTCTTCTTCCTTGGCCATTTTCGTTCCTTTCTCTCTCTAGGAAGCTCGAATTTTCTTGTTTTTTGAAGCTAAAGGAAGTAGATCTCGTCCTTTATTCATATTTTCCATAATCGAATTTAAGTCTTTTGTTAAATTTTGTTTGATTTTGGCTTAATTGGGACGATTTTCGAATCGTTAAACCCCAAATTTCGAATTTGGGGGTTTTCGATTCGGTCCATTATTCTTGAAATTG